CTTCAGCAGTTACTCAGGCAAAGCCTAACGTGTCCCCAGCCCCTGGCCTGCTGACACCTGAGCCGTGGGCATGAGCAAGGTCCCTGATGTCTTGTACTGGCTTTGTCCTCCTGTCTGAAGGGACCCAAGGGAACCTGACACAGAAGAAAGGTTTTGCGGTGGTTTAGGGTCACAGATACAGTACTATCAGGTTACTGGGAGGCGAAACACCCAGGACAACCCAGAGAAGTCACTGAGGGGCTTGAGCTACCCCACTTGGTATCAGCTTCTGAACATGCAGGTTCAGAATCTCACCTACAACCAAATTGCCTGGGTGCAGGTTTCTGACCTCCACAGGGTAAAAGAATTTTGAATTAGAAGGAAGAAGAAGAAGGAAGAGGAGGAGGAGGTGGGGGAGGAGGAGGAGGAGGAGGAGTCATTGTTGTTTTAGCATTCTAAAACATAAGTAAAATCTCATTAATTGAGAAAAATGGAACTTAACAGCTATTTTCCCCCATTAAGCGACTGCTCTATCATTTAAACACTTGGATTGATGAGAAGTTCATTATTCCATATCATTGGCCAGTCTTAGTACAATATTAAAATTTCAAGTGTACAGTCAGATACATTCTCTACTCTTATTGAAGGGCCATGAATCAGCCTTCTTTATAGATATGAATTAACTTTTAATCTGAAATCATTCAGAGAGAGTATAGCAATATTTACTGAATAAAATCTTCAAAGTTAGCCTAGCTATGAGTGTTGATGCTACATTACATACAATCAAAGTCTACTGCATTCCAACTTTTTCATTCATTTAATTCATTTTATGTATCTTAGTGTTTCGTTTTTCTCATTCCACTTTGCTCAGTTGTATTTATTTTTCTTTGTGAAATATCGTACAACCTGCAGTTGCATTGTATACCAATCGCCTGAAGCCCACCAGGTTTATACCTCATTATTTCAACATAATGTTGTTTTTGGTTTTTTTTATTTTGTACCAGGGATTGAATCCAGGGGCATTCAACCACTGAGCCACATTCCCAATCTTTTTTATGCTTTATTTTGAGACAGGGTCTCACTAAGTTGCTTAAGGCCTCACTAAGTTGCTGAGGCTAGCTTTGAACTCGAAATCTTCCTGCCTCAGCCTCCAGAGCCCCTGGGATTACAGGTGTGCACCACCATGTTTGGCACAACATAATTTTAATAGCACCCTTTCACTCTCAAAAGTGTCCTAATTTAGAAGAAAAAATTATGTTCAAGGGTTATACTTCAAAGTTTAAAATATTTTATCATATTTTCTTTAATTGTGCTGAAAACTCCACAATTTAAGATTGGAATCCCTTTGCCCTTCACTTCCCATCTTCTCAATTAGTGAGATTTACCTTCGTTTGAAATGACCGATCTTGACTATGGAATATTTTTAATAAAATTAGTAGCCGCTCTGTGCTGGAGAAGCACCTCCACAGAGTGGCCACAGCCTGGCTCTGCATGGACGGAGTGGCCCACCGCCAAGAACTGTCACTTTCATTAAGACATTGAAAGCCGCGGAGACCCTTCCCAAGATAGGCACAGCGTGTAGAGGAAAGATGTCCTCCCCAGGGGGCCATTCTCTGTACTCGACCATGCTTCTTTAATCCCTGGTGCCTCAGTTTCTGTACCACAGAGGAGCACAGTAATGTCCACTTTGTAGGGCTGACAAATGGAAGAAAAGGGATGATGGCCACAGGGCACTCTCAGCCACCAGCAATAAAGACACTGAGCAACAGCAAAATGTTCAGTTCCGCTTTTGCAGTGTGCAGGGAAAGGCTCCTGCTGACTTGAAAGGGAGCCCCCCAGGAAGACAGGGGAGCCCACAGGAGGACAGGGCCTGGCCATGGGCGTCATTAGCATTGTCAGAAAGTGCACTGAGGGAAAGAGCAACAAAGGAGGCCAAGAGCTCCGGTGGCAGGAAAACAAGACCCAGAAAAAGATCTCCCCAACGACTACAAAAGAAGGCCTGAAAAGCTGAACTTCTTGAGTTAAAAATAACCTGTGAAAACCATACGCCAGGAGCGGTTTTCAAGGAACCATCTATATGTTCTCGGATTACTTGATATAATAGCACACTCATGTACTTTTACACTGGAATGTGCCCGGATCCCTCATGCTGTCTGTCCTCTTTACATTCTCCTCTGATCTAAAAGCCTAACGGTAGCTCAGTGGTCACCTGCAGAGTGGACCAAACTTAAAAGCTCCTATTTAGACAATGTTCATAAGGTGCATTCAAATGATCTACCACTAGGTAATGAAATCATTCTTGGTGAGAGCACTTTGGCATTAAAACTGTGGAGACCGCCAAGGCCGAAGAATGAGTGTGGATGAGCATGAAGAACCATGGTGCTCTGGTCAGCTCACAGGCGGGGAGATGTAAGACACAGGCCTGTGCATTATTAATACTTGCTACTCAAATCAAATGGGGAGAAATCGTAATCATCATAGGAGACGTCACTCCAGACAGTGTTTTCCCGGCAAAAGCTGCATCTCAAGAGTCCTTCAGAGCACTCTGGGAATGCATGGGGGTTTACAAATCAATCTGCTAAATTGCCTTGGCAGGGAATCGTGCTTCTGTGTATGGGCTGAAAGGCACTGCTGAATCTGCTAAGCCCTCCCAGTGAACTTTCTAGAAGAGGCTACATAAGCCCTGCAGCCTTGCAAGGTGCTGGCAGGATGAAACACCAAGTGTATCTCAAAGAGTCAAATGCTGTGTTCATTTGAACTTTATGGTACAGCTATAAACAACCCAGAAGGACAGAAATCGTCCTCAAAAGCCATCCACTCCCTCACCGCTGTAGGCCAGGTGGACAGGGACACATAAAAAGAGAACGATTCTGGAAATGCGAACATGAAATGCTTGCATATGCTTAGCCAAAATAGGGACCTTAATTTAAGCATCTGCAAGAGCCAAACTGCAATTCTAAAGAAGGAATTCTTAGATGTCAAACGTATTCTATCTTATGATCTGCATAATCCTGCCCTTTACATACTGTTAACTTGTAGGAATTCTGTGCGTGATTCGGCTCTTCTCAAACCACACACATTGGCCATTCACAGTGAGCTCCCCAGGGCTGATCCACCAGGTGAGCCTCTGATCCTGGAGGGAGGAGGCAGAGCAAAGGGCTCAGAGCCAGAAAGGCTCAGTGTGCAGCCAGCAGCCTTTCCACTAGGAAAACTGAGGGCTTGGAGTAACTTGCTGCCCAAAGTCAAACCATGAAGGCTGTGGGCTAGGATTTTTAGTAAGTCTCTACAAACCAAATCGGACAGCAAAAAGCAAGGGAAATCTTCATTCCCTGATAGTTACAGTTACATCATGTCATCAGCCTGTCCTCCAGGAGGGAGTTTGCACCAATAACAGAAGCTCATAAGATAGGTCAATGTCACTTCACATTTCCCCAAAAGTTACGGAACCTCCTTTCTAACATGTCTGTGGATGGCAAATCTGAAAGGCTAAAAAAAAAAAAAAAAAAAAAAAAAAATCATCAAAAGAACACTTTGAACATTGACACATGGGACATTTGTGTCCCATGGTAACAGACACTGACAGGATACGAAAGTGGGAAGATCAGATATTTCCACACACGTTACAGTGTCCATTATGCCTTCTACAAAATCAGATTGTCCATTTAAGTTCTGCATGCACCGATTTTTAATCACTGCTCAGCACATTTTAAAGGGTGATTGCCCATCCAGGCAGGATTTGCTGACAGGTGGCACTAGGCCTTGCTTCACGGCTCTCCCACAGTTAATCCTCACTGGTCGCCAGGTTTGATTCCGTCTCAGGGAATAGGGATTCCATCTCGGGGATTCTCAATGTGCTCATTTAGGGACTGGCTGTTTTGAGGCCCATCTCCCTCCAGGTCAAACCCACTTCAGTACAGTTGTGTAGGACACCCAAGATTAGAGTGGGACAGAAGTTAGGAGAGGCATGAAGTCAGAGGACTTCAAGATTTTAGGACAGGAGAGGTCACAGAACCTGTCTGAAGGCTGAGGGAGACAAGCCAGGGAGACTCTGGATGCCCAGCTGAATTCCAGGGGACAGAGGTGCCTTCCCCAAGGGGCCCCTTGGAAAGAAGAGAAGTGGAGTCCAGAAGGACCAAAGGAAGCCAGTGTGAACAAGGGAAGGGAGAGGAAGAAAGGGAAGGAGAGAGGAAGGGAAGCAGGACAGAAAGCTCAGGAAACCCCGGAGATGCCGGAGACAAGGAAACAGGGTCTAGAGGGAGCTTGCCAGAAGGTGTAGAGTCTAACTGGAAAGTTCTGCTCAGCCCATAAGTGGACATTGTGGGTATGCAGTCAGGGATTGGACTTTGTTCTGCTTAAACCATTTTACATTAATGTTTTCTTCTAAAGAATGTTCTTATCGGGCTCGGTGGTGCCCGCCTGTAATCCCAGCGGCTCAGGAGGCTGAGGCAGGAGGATCGCTCGAGTTCAAAGCCAGCCTCAGCAACAATGAGGTGCTAAGCAACTCAGTGAGACCCTGTCTCTAAATAAAATAAAAAATAGGGCTAGAGATGTGGCTCAGTGGTCAAGTGCCCCTGAGTTCAATTCCCAGTACCCTGCCCCGCAAAAAAATGTTCTCAGTAGATGGAAAAGAAAGAGTTCATCCAATTAGATTGATTTTTGTGGAATAACAACTTAAAATTACTTGAATCCCAGCCTGTGTGGGGAGGAAAAACCCTTCCTCACAAAGAAAATCTCAAACACTAAATTAGCAGGTTAATTCACAGTGTGGACGAAAGAAATAGCAGATACACAGTTTGATATTTGGGTTGTTAAAGTGAGAAAAGAAAGCATGCTAGATTCTATAGAATAAGCATTCCCAATCCCAGAAATTACTAAGAATTTGAGAGTTTTCTTGGCTGTAAGGACTTGTAAACATCTAGAAGAGCCCAGATTTTGAAGCCCCGAGGACACTTGCTAAAACTAAGAAAGTTGGCAGTAGGTTTGCACACAATTTGGGTTTTCTTTCAGAGTTGATATCTTACCAAATACAGCCATCTGTGTTCCCTCTGGGAAAGGTTCAACTGTCCTGTTGCCATTGACATGATGTTTGGCTAGAGAAAGAAAGAAAGAAATGCAAGTTTAAGTGTAAAGTTCTACACACTTACTAACACATGTCATTAAATGTGTCAATGAGCCTATTTCTCATTTTGAGTTAGAAGCACACCAAAGCTTACCCTCCCCAGAGAGTTTTGGTTATTTTGTTTTTAATCTTAGTCACAGCAGAACCTAGACATCTTGTAGTCTAGGGAAGACATTTTGCAAATTAGCATGCCAAGGCCCAAGTTCCTGCAGGGCCAGACAGCCTGAAAGTGCCTGACCCCTGGCCAGCAGGTCCCCAGGGTGCTTGGTTTCCCCTGACAACTCTCAACAATCACAAGGTTGTCACGATCTACATTTAAGTGAGAGGTAAAATGAGCGAGGTAACACTGGGCCCAAATTTTCAGGAAACATAATAGCAGTCATGTCATCTCACTACAAATCAAACTCTGTTCCAGGGGGCCAAAGGCATTACCAGTCTTCTAAGGACCACGTGGATATTTCCATGCCTCCCACTGTCCCTTCATCCCCCTGGTGCCCACCACCAACCATCCTTCTTGCACTGGTGCATAGCAAGGACTGACTCAGAAATAAAAAGAAATCAGGTTAGAGGTTTCCAGCATTAACTTGTTCTCACGACTCCAAACAGAGAATACTGGAGTACCTCCATCTAGGAGGATTTTAATAGTAGCCTCAGCTCTTTTTGAATACAAGCATTTAGGTAGGAAATACAGGAGAGGAACAGCCACACTGCTTCCACACATGCATTGCAGTTTAAGGGGTCACCTTAGGCTTGCTGAGCGATGGAGAAGGACTCAGCACTAAAGTGAGGCTCCTGGGAAGTATGACATGGCTGCTGCCCTTGAGGACAATAGCTACCTTAGAGGCAAACATTTCAAAAACAAACATGACAGGAAGCTTATGATTCAGCACAGTCCTGGGGTGTGGAGTGGGAGGAGCTCATGGGGAGGGGAGCAGACTGGGGAATGGGTGCAGGAGACAAGAGGAGAGCCACTCAGGTAGGAGAGAGAGGGCTGGGCAGGGGGGTGGGCCAGGATGTGAGCAAGGAACAGAGGACCTCCTGAGCCAGGGAACAGGATAGCCCGGCTGTGGTTCAGGGTTACGCTGGGAAGCAAGGGTGACCAAGGACGGACCAGGGCTGGATCAGCCTATGGGAGGCCTCGATCCCCATCCAAACATGGGGGACCCTCTTCAGCTCTGCACAAGTGCTTTAGACCCCGCAGGCTCAGTTCACACGCCCCTCAGGGCTCCACCAGTTCTTCAGGCACTTCCACAGCTTCCTTGTGAGTAACTGTGGTGTGATCCTAAGAGCATGAAGCCCCGGGGAAAAGGAAAGCGCAGCGCAGGTTCAGAGTGCAAGCCCTGGGCTGCGCAGCCTGCCTGAGGTCCTCGGCTGTGCACACTGCAGAGTCACGGTGGAAGGTCCCAGGTGACTTGTCAAGCACTCACTAATGCGGTTAGGACCACTGTCACTGAACTCCAAGGAACACGAGGAGCTACGGTGCAGAGGTCCAAGTTCTGCCCTCTGGTTAGACCCCCCACGGCACCCACCAGTGGTTCTGAAAGGGTATCTTTACCCACTCAGGACTCAGGGATCCATTCAACCCCCTAACCCACCATGCCCACTTGAAAGAACTTTGAACCTAAGGAAAAATGCAGGAGGAAAAACAGGTGCCACTTGCAACAATATGCATTTGAAGTCTAACTTGTTACAATGAAATCTTAAAATCAACTAAATGCTTAAAAATTGCCATTCATGATTTTTCAAACGAATGGAATACTACACAACATAGTTTGAATATGACCCTGAAAGCTCTGTAGAGATGAAGGAAAACATTTGGATATTGATAAGGGAAAATAATTCTATTGTGCCTTTTATGTAGATTATAATGACAACTAAATGAAATTTGAATGACATCAGAAAAGATGGGCAGAAAAACATGCAAAACGAAAACAAGAAGATTGTGCTAGGTATTTATTTTTATTTTTATTCATTTCCTTTGTCACAGGTAGGTTATTTACTTAATGTCTAGGGAAAAAACATGTTTAAATTTCAAAAATCAACAAAGCTATAGACTTCTACATTTTCCCTTAGGAGTTGGTTCCCAGGACAGCAAGGCTCTTCTATGGCCCGAGTGAAACACTGCATGTGTTCATAAAAAAGTGCAGCCCCTCTGACACCTCCGTGGGCCACCTGGACAGCACAGAGGACTGCCCGCCATGCAGAACTGAGTCCCCTCCACACCCCTGCATTAGGGACAGACCCGCCATCTCTTATTCCTTGTCAGCGGTGCCCTTCTTTCTCCTCAGTGCCCACATCCGAGCCACCCAATCCTAGCTGATTTCACCTCCTCTACCTCTTTAGAGTCCCTTTCCTCTACCCGTCACCACCCAAGCCACTCCTGTCCTGCCATCATGACCTCCTTATCTGGACCTCGACAATGGCCTCCTAACCTTTCCAGATCCCTCTTTCCAATCACTCTTCTCAAAGCAGCCACAACTGCCCCGCAACATGGAACAAACCTAATTATGGCACAAACCCCACCCAATGCCCTCCCCACCTTCCACTTCCCACTACTCTTAGGCTACAACTCTTTAGCATGGCTTCCAGGACCTGCACGGACTATCACCTTGGCCCCTCATCCTTCTCCTAGTGCCCCCATGAAACCTTGGTACAAGCTTCTCCTCTGCCTGCTTGCCAGGGCTGCACTTTACACTCACGTCACTATTTGGACAAAGGCCATACCAATGAGTGGACCCTAAGCTCAGGGAGGGCCTGGTTCTTCCTGTGGCTCATTCCAGGACCCAGGATCCCAGCCGGGACCCACAGGGAGCAGGTGTGCGGTAAGGATTTGTTAGTAAATGAGGCCACTGGTATCTATAAGTCTCTATTCTGCCATTATGAAAGATTTATTTGACATGTCGCTTGCTGACAGGGTACCTTCCAAGAGACGGGTTGGTAAGCGGTTTCCATCACTGGGCGAACATCGAACATCGCAGAGTGCACTTACACAAACAAGACAGCAATGATGGCACTCGTGGCCTCATTTTATGGGCAACCACTGTATATGCAATCTGTCGTCACTCGAAAGTTAGTCTGTGGCATGTGACTAGACGCAATGTCCTAGCCTCACAGCCAGGTGGAGACCAGGGAGTCCCCTGTCCCTCCCTTAAGGCCCCAGCTGCTCCTTTTCCATCCACCCACTCTGCTGAGGAGTGGACGTGGAGGTGGGAGCAGGGAAATGCTCACGCTGGGGAAGGAGGTTTGTCGCCGCCCCTCCTCACTGAGGAGGTTCTCCTCCGGGGCCCAGGCCCTGTAAACTGGAGTTTGCACTTTCTTCTGAAGCACAGCTGCGTCTTGCGTCAGCCCAGTGGCAGCTGGCTCAGCATTAGCAAGCCAGTGACAGCCTGGGTTCTGGGACAAGATTGCCTGACTTTGAACCTCTCCCAGCCCTGGCTATGTGACCTTGTCTTAGTCACGTAACTTTCTGTGCCTCTGTTTTCTATTGTGAGCATTTCTTCATTGTATTTTTCCCACTTGTACCTACCTTGTGGGTGGTTTTGTGAATGAAATTATTTTAAAATGTAAAGCCCAACACACAACATATGGCACATAACCTTGAGGCTGGTATCATCATCTGTGTGTGAACTTTCTGTTCACAGCAAGATCTGAGTCAGGCATGGGACAGCTGCCTCCATATCCATGCTCGTGGAAGACAGCACTAATCAACCACAGCATCCTTTCATTATCCCCAAATGCGATCACAAAATCCTTTCCACACTTAACACTCCACAGAGCTTCTTGCCATTTAGGGATAGAAAATGAAATGAAATCACCTTGTAAACTCTTAGTCTAAGTGAAAAAACCAGAAAGATGGAACAAAGAAAGAAGCCATTTCCTTCTCATTTCTGCATGACAAGTTGCTATAAAACCCTCTTAAACCCCATACAGCAGCGCCCCCTTATCACTGGGCACAGCCCCAAGTGGGTGCCTGAAGCAACAGACAGCACTGGACCCTGAAGGTACCAGGCTTTCTCCTACATGCACTGCAGCGTTGCCACCGCATCAGAGGCCATCTGTCCTTCCATGATCCGTGCCCTGGCGCCCATTTGCCTCTCTGCTCATGCCCTCTGGGGTGGGAATAAAATCCAGGCTCCTTGAGCACAAGCACTGCAATACCACAGTGGCCAGCCTCATAACCAAGACGGCTGCTAAGTGGCCAAGGGTGGGAAGCATATGCAACATGGACACACTAGACAAAGGGACGACACATGCCCAGGCAAGACAGAGCAGGGTGGTGGCACTCAGAACAGCACACAATTTGAAATGAATGTATGATTTATTTCTGGAATTTTTCATTTAATATTTTTGGATAACAGTTGATCAAGTAACTAAAACCTTGAAAAGTGAGGCTTTGGATAAGGGGGAGTACTATATATAGCTTTAGAGATAAAAGAATGAGGAGGACGCTGAGGGCTACCTTCCACCCTGTGAAAGAATGGCAAGTTCTTTAAAATCCAGCACTGGCACTTCTAATCCTGGAAACCAAGGCTGAATCTCTCAAGGCATTTTCCCATTGAAATTCTAAGGCACGTATTTGAGGGCCAAAGAACCAGAGATCCTTTAAATATCTTATATAGGTCAAGTAAGATTCAGGAGAAGGGTGGGCATATGTAAATGCCAGCATTTATATAAATTTCTGTTTCAGAATTAGTGACATTCTTTATCACAGAAGCAATCACGTTCACTAAACAGAGAAGCCATTCAGTGGTTGGGTCCTAACTATTGATTGCCAGCAGGGTATAAAATGAAGACCAGGAGGGTCTGACAGGCAGGGACATCTGTTGACAAGTCACTACAGGTAGAGGCCTCCATTCTGAATGGTTGGGTGCATGTCCCTGCCCTTGCTCTCTGCTCCCTTGGGGCACATTCCAAAGCCACATGCTCCAAGAGGACAGAAAGCCTCTGTTGGTGGTGACTTGTCCTCCGTCA